TTTCATGAATTACATAGGGGCCTTCAAATTTTGGAGCCAACTTTGCAGTGAAATTGTCTGGGGCACTTGATAAAGAAAATTTCCGCTTCAACACTTTATCTCCAACTTTAAAATCTGCTTCACGGCATTTTCTATCATAGTATAATTTTTGTCTATTTCCCTCCGTATCCGAGCTTTTAACCGCCTGGTCAATAAGTTTTTGCGCATCTTTTTGTTTAAATTCTTGCTCTCTTTGTTGCACAAAGAATAATTTATATAATGGCGTAATTAACTTCCGTCCTAAAAATAATTCTGCTGGAGTTTTTCCCGTAGTATCGTGATTTGCCGTTCTTAAAGCATAAGCTAACTCATTTATGTAGCTATCCCAGCGCTTGTGATGTGTGCTAACATAACTTCGAATTATTTTTACAATATTTTTATTAACTCTTTCTGCTATGTTTGCCTGTGGTCTATACGGAACCATTTTGATATGGCGTATGCCAAGTCCAGTGCATATGTTTTCAAATATTTGGCTAACGAATTGTTTACCGTTATCGCTAATGACTTTTATCGGTGCACTGTATTTTAAAATGTATCTGGGTAAGAATGCATCTGCGACTGTTTTGGCTGACGCGCGTTTAAGGGGAACAATTTCTGTCCATTTTGTAAAATGATCTACAATTACTAAAAGAAAACGATTTTTATTTAACTCACTCTGGGGGAAAGGACTAAGAAGATCTATGCCTAAAATTTCATTCGGAAATGTAGCGCGAATGGCAAGCACACAGGCCGAAACGCGCGGTTCTTCAATTTCTAACTAGCCACCTCCACGCTCGTGAAGCAAGAAAGCACACTTTCGAACTCGTTTCCCTTCTATTTAACTCAGATTACTTCCGCTGACAATTTGAATCCTTGTGCGTTCTACTAAAATTTACATACTCTGGCATTGGCAATTCCAGGGGAAAGTAAGGCTTGACAGGAAAGATAGTTTAAACTTAAAATAAATGTTAGTTAAAATAAATATAAACCCTACACACTGAACATTAAAAAATTTAATAGTACTTACTCAATTTTAAAATAATAGATAAAATGCGCTACTCTTAGCATAAAGTTCCTTTTTTTTTTTTTTTATTTGCAAGGTTTTTTTTTTTAAATGCCTGTTTGTTTCTAATCATTTCTTTATCTGAATGTTAACTAAGAGAACTGTACTACTGCTTCTAAGATAACTATAATAACGGCCATTTAAAATTAATCAAAAAACAACCTTGAATTGCCATAGTTTTAAACATGTATGGTTATATATGGCAAAATTTCTGCTAATCTAAGTTTGAGTTTCAGCCTAATTGTAAATTTTACATTGGCATATTTTTCTCCCGATTCAATATAATAACATATATATTTTTTTAATAATTTTGTAACTTAGGCTTACATCAATATTTCATTTAAATAAATACATGTAAGATTGTTATCTTAATTTAGATAAAGCAACTTTACTCATAGTACCTAAAAAAATTATTTAATTTTTCAAAAGTGGTAGTTAAGGGGGCAGGTCTTCTTATGCCAATTACTTTAATGTTATACTTTATATATTTTTTATCTAGAATGCTAAGCTAGCACAAAATCTAATCAATAATAACAGAGGATACAATAAAAATAACTGTAACAATAACTTAACAGAATTAGTTCTCATTTGAAATATGATTTACGCTATTAACTTCTAAAATGTCATCTATAAATATTTCAAATCAAAACATATTATATATGCTTACTTGTACAGTCGCAATGCAACTACAAGTTGTTGGAACATTATTTATTGGCTGCCACATTCGAAGCAATCCCTTTTTTTTCCTTTTGAGTTGCTTTTCTTTGAAGAAAAAACATATGCATTTCTATTTAATAAGAAACGTATTCTAATAAAAGTTCGCACTCTGCAAAATAAACTAATTGCTTCTTTGTTAACTTCAGGATAATGTTTCTCCAGTTTATTAATTAAAGAGCCAATTACATGCTTCCCTTTATAGTAAGTTGTACCATGAACTGCACAAAATATGTTTTCGAACTCATAAACTGTATTCATCCATGAATGAGAAGGTGTAGTCAAACCTCCTAAGGACAATAATTTAATCCATTCTGAATTAAATATTGGTTCATCAGCACTATTTTTAGATATTGTTCCCAATGATGGGTCTTTGTCTCACACACGATAGGCAATGTAATCTGCAATATATGTTAATGCTCCTTTTTCGGCGGTCGAAAATTGTCTGTCGGAATTCAATTCTAATTCCCAAGCCACAGGAGAAGGTTCCTCTATGAAATCCAAATCCAAATCATCAATAGTATGTAATGGAAAAGCATCTTCCTCCTCAGTTTTCAAAGCCCTTTCAAGTATTTCTGATGTTAAATATGATTCAATATTTCTGCTTTCTTTAGTCATGCATAGTTTTGGATATAAATTTGGCAGCTTATTAGCGAGTATTAATTGCTTTAAGCGGCGTATAACTTCACTAGGTGATGGATGGTCATTAAACATACCAAGCCCTCGAATCTGACTAAAGAGACTTTCAAGTGCATCCTGAGTTAATCTAGAGGTTAAAATATATTTAGCATCATACGATGATCCTGGTGTAGGCCAAAAATAAGAATTTATTGAAATTATTATTCCTTTTTGGAAAGGCAGTAAATTGGCTTTTCCCTGAACTCTTAATCCGCCAATGACGTTTTTCATTAATTCCAAAACTTGAATTTCTTTTTCATGATGTTCATTTAATCCAAATGCTGCTTTAAGTATTTTATCTGAAGGAGGGTATGTTTTGGTACTATTCATAACATCGAAAAAATTGTCGATTAACTCAAAGAAGTCGGATGCTTTTTGATTTCCTGTGAGGTGGAGTATTTTGCGGTAGTTCTTGAAAATAATGTTTTCGCTGGAGCGACTTTTTGTCTCTCGTTTGCCTTGACCATTAAATAATTTGGTTTTAGTTTGTGACACAATTTAATTTCTCCTGAATCTTTATTTAAAACATCTTTAATAATATAAATATTTAAAACAGTTCCATCTTCTAAAACATATCCTTTATCTAAAAAGTGGTTTATCAGTAATTTGAGGTAGTGCGCTAAATCTGCAAAAACCCATATTTTTTTCGTTTGCAATACTGGATTTGGAAACTGAGAACTATTGATCGAAACCTGTAACTCTTTCCACAAAGTACTAGATCCTCCTAAAGCAGACTATTGATTTCACTCCAGATGATTGAATATGTCTTATGAGTGAAAAAAGAAGTTCTTGCTTCATTGGAGAGTTAAAGTAAAAAAATATTGGTTGTTTCCACTGCGAAATGAGACCTCTGATTAAAGCAAACTGCACTTTTTGAAAAGGACAGAGAATTTGGTCCAGTTTAGAGTCATAGCAGAGTTTAGAATCTATGTGCATTTCGTCGAAACTGAGAACGCATATTTTTTCTACAGACTTCAAATATTCACATCTTTCCTTCATTACAACAAGAACATCACTCTGAATTCCTGGACTACATGAAAATTTAGCGCACCATCTGTTTAATGTGCTAGTGCTAGGTAAAGGAATTCCCATTTTTTTCTTTCCAAAAATCGTAGCTTTTAGATGACAGAGCTCTTATGACAATGCAACGTGAAATATCTTCACTAGTCCACCTGATTTTTTCCTTCTTTTATAGCAATGCGTTAATCTGTGTCTTTAAAAATATGCTTTAGATGTTTTTCAAATTCTCCGATCTGTGCTGTTTTTTCCTAAATTTCGCTGTTTGGGATTTTAATTTCTGAATTTCCGATACAAATTTCTTTCTAGATGTCGTCCACCTTCTTTATCGCTGAGCAAACATTCTAAAATTTTTCTTTTCTCTATTTTTCAATATTTTATTACAATTTTCTAAGGATATTATTTTGTTCTTCAAATTACCAATACATTCTTGTTTTCTTTACACTTAGGGCATTCAGGGATATTATCACATAGGGCATTGTCACTTGTGAGCTTTATTTCAAAATCATTCACATTTGATTTATTATTGTCAGCTTTAATTTCGTTCTCGGCCTCAAAAAAAATTTTCTTTCGGCTTAATTCGTAAAGTCTTTCAAAAGCACTCTGCATTAGATTTCTTTTCAAATGTCTCCGATTTCTTGGTGTTATTTCGTTTACTGCACACGATAAATTTACTTTCGGCACAGTATTGCATTTCAACAGTTTCTTTTGAGGCAATCCAAGCAAGCGATTTCTCATGTCTTCTTCATAATCACTGCACAGAAAATCTTCGCTGCAAATGCGTTTTTCACATTAATAGAATCCTGTCTTCGACATTTATGTATCCATTCTTTCGTCAAAAGCAAATTGCCCTTGGGGAAAGCATGAAATATAATATCTCTTCCTTTCGTATTTCTATAAGTGTTACGGCACGTTGTTACAGCACAAGAAGCCATATTACATAAAGGATACTTTAAATATAGAATTTAAAAGGAAAACTGACTAAAACTATATATATATACACCAATTATTTTTAATATTTGCATTATTAGAAAACAAATATGTATGATTAAACCATTTTATCCCACTGTCCAATATAAATAACAGCTGAAAAATAACATATAGAAATCAATATTTGCTTGGTGCGAATATTTTGCCAGCTGGAATATGTAAGGATATGTATTAGCATCTGCTTGCGTGAGTTATGTGTCTCGCTCCCCTCCTACTTCCTCTGGACATTTTGATTATTCATCGCATTAGTGGGCGTGGTTTGTATCATCTCTTTGTGGTTGCAGAAATCGTTTTCAGTTTACTTTGGACACTCGGCTGGGCATTTTGTATGTGAAAGTACTCTTTCCTTATCATCCTGGTGGTTAATGAAAGCTTTATTGTTATTAGGTGACTTTTAGCGCATTGTTTTTAACTGTCTTCTAAATAGGACAATGGGACGATAAGTATGCAATTGACGCGTTCTTTCCCTCTTTATAAATAAGAGTAAAAAAAAATTCTAGTGTTTCACCCCTGCTGAGTTATGTCAGTGCAAAGGTTTCTGAAGTTAGAGGAAGCATTAGAACTATTCAATAGTTTAGATTCAGATGAGAGCGAAGTTGAAATTGTTGTGTTGCCACCAGATGCCAGTGAACTAACTGACGAAGATGAAGGGGATGAGAATGAAGTAAATACTGGTGAGATTACTGTAACCGATGTTCCTGGGTCTCTGTAGGTTTAAACTGAAGATAGTTTCCAGCCTGAACCGTCCACAAGCCTAGTGTCCACGTCCTAGTGTTTCCACAACAAAGAGTAAAAAAAAACAAAAAAGCTAAAAAGACACCAGTCATCTTGGATAAAGAATAAATCACCACAATATACAAAATTGAAAACACAGGATGAATCAATTGCAAGTGACTTGTTCAAGCAGATGGAAACTGCATTGAAAGGTAAAACTACATCAGAGCTTTTGAGCGGTTTTATTCTAGTGAAGTCTACGATCTCATTGTAAAAGAAACTGTGCGATTTGCACCAGATGTAAAAAACGAACACGATTTCTTGACCACTGCCAACGAAATGCGTGTTTTTATCGGAACTTTGCTTCTAACTGGTTATCATTCAAATATCTGCGAACGTGACTACTGTCAGATGCGGTAAAGAATTTGGTGCGAGAAATGATACTCCTCTTGGTACTCGGTTTGTGATGAAACTAACACAGAATATTGTGAATCCTTCAAGCTACACTTTATATTTTGATAACTTTTTTACTAGAATTTATCTTTTCAAAAGTCTTGGTGAACAGGGTTTTCGAGCTACAGTAACCATACGAGAAAATCGGATAAACCATGAGTTTCCTTTAGAAGAATCTAAGTCTATGCGGAAGAAAGAAAGAGGTACGTCTGATTTTACATTTGACGAGAAATCTGAGATTTTCCTGGTGCGATGGAATGATAATAGTACTGTCACTGTTGCTACAAATTTCAGCACTTCAGAACCATTCTTTGATCTGAAGAGGCGAGTGAGAGGACACAAAGATAAAATTAACGTAAAGATACCAAGTTTAATTAATTCTTACAACAAACATATGGGCGGTGTGGATCACCACGACTAGTTGGCTGGACTTTATTCCATTAAAATTCGTGGAAAAAAGTGGTACTGGCCAGTTTTTATACGTTCGTTGGATATGGCTATGGTAAACGCCTAGATAATTCACAAAACTCTGAACAAAAATGAAGCTCTAAACTTGAAGGAGTTCCGAAGAGCTGTAACAACAGTTTATCTAAAAGAAACTGTAATAAGAACAAAAGGTAAACCTAGGATCTGGACTGTACCTCCTGATGCAAAAGAAGACATCCGTAAAGATAGTGTTAGTCCTTTTTTACTAAAGCGAAAAAAACAGCGTCGTTGTCAAAGAGAGGGCTGCAAAGGAAAACCAAAAACATACTGTGGCAAATGTGACAAAACACTTTTTCAGGCTTGTTTTGGACCTTTCCACCAAGATTAGAGTGAAATTCATCTGAAAAGTGAACTATCTTGTAAATAAGGAAGTATTAGTCGAATAAAGTAAAATTTGTACACGGAAATCACTTTTCATTATTGAAGAGAACACTAAAAACATGTAAGTGCAAATTTTAACCCCTTTATTCCAGTGTCCTATTTAGAGGACGGGCCAGATTTCTTATATAAAATATAAAAAATTTTCTAATTTTGTTATATTTAGTTTGTTTAAGTTTAATTAACCTTAGAAAATATCATTCTTTTCAAATTTGAACAAAATTAATAAATTGGGATAAAATGGGTTAAAATTAATTTGGGATATGCGACCTCCAGAAAATCGTCTCGCAACTGAATGAAACTACAGTTTTAAACGCGCGAAATCAGAGCAGGTGCAACAGAGAAACGTCAGATTACTTTCAGTTCACCCCCTCCATGAGGCTCGCGTCGGCGAGGAGTCGAACAAAGGAATGACCTAGCCCTTCTATTTAGCCCTGACTTAACCTACTCGCACCACCATTAACCACGCATGCGCATTGAATTATCAGATCCGTAACGGCTTCCACGTACGAGAACTGCCTAATCTTTTTTTTTAAAGGCGAATTACTACTTTGGCGTAGTATATTATTTTTTAAGCAATGGCGACTTTCAAAAGTTTTGAAAGAAAAATGGGTTCATTTTCTTATAAAAAGAAGGAACACATTTCCTTTTATATTTATTTCATAAATAACTTTGAATATGGCATTTGAACCTACAAACATGAGTGGATACTGAAAAAGTGATGTATATATAAGAATATTATAATTTTCAGTAAGTTTTCTTATTGAATAATAAATTCTGACAGTCCTATGCTATAAGACTAGGGTCTAAGTTTGTATAAAAATTCCTCTGTTATATAAAAGAATTTAAGTAATTTCTGTAGCCTTTTTGTCAATACACTAAAGATTTTTTAACTAATTACACGTCCTCGCTTGCAGTTAGAACCATCATTAAATCGCTATTTTATCTAATCATTTCCTGAACATTATCATGTATATAGATTGACCTCGTCTTTGTAACTGATAATTATTACTTGCAAATTATTCTCTTGCTGGTGAACTATTTACAACCCTTTCTATTGCAGAGTTAGGGTTAACAATCTTCGCTCTCGCTATCGCCTGCCTTACGGAAATCGGCGTAAAATGCTGGTACCTGGGCTAATTGTGCGCATGCGCAAACGTAGGTGGTGTGAATCAAGGAGGTTAGAATTGGTCTGATTAGCCTCTTAGCTATTCGAACCGCCGGTGCGATTAGCCACTGCCTTGTAGTGTACTACTTTTATTCAGTCCTTGAATGACGTGAGTAATTGCTGAAGAAACCTGTTTTGCTTTCCAATCCATACAGAGCTCATTTCATCTGTGGAAGAATTTTACGAATATTTTATTTTTGGTGGAGCGAACCTTCAGCCTCTTACTTGTTAGGCCTGTTACTTGTTACTTGTCTCAATTCCTCCTTCAACTCAGTACTTTGCCTCTTCAGCGTCAAATTTGTACTTCAGCCTCTTACTTGTTCCTCTTACTTGACTTGTCCCAATTTCTCCTTCAAAATTTATTTCTTATCCCTATGCAAGTCACGCGTTTTTATGCAGTTGCTTCACGGATTTCGCAACCATTCACAATAATATGCTTAATGAATACTGCTTCCACATGAAACTCTATATTACGTAATAACTCCTTGGTAATCCCAGGCAGAGATAATAATTTTTTTCGCCGATGGTTGTGCATGCTAAAATATTTGGAGTCATGAAAATAATCACTGTTTTGACAATGAATTATATTTTAGTCAAAATGTTTAATTCGCATTTTATGAAATATTGTAATTCCAGTAGAGACCTTTCACCTCAGTTATCAAATCTTCATATCAATAGCGTTGCATCAAGCCATGAGAGATCAACAGAACAAAACATCTCTCTTTTTCAAAGTTTCTCTCAAAATCGGTATATTGATATTCGTGAAATCTCTTTAGCTTGTGATATTTTCTCATATTTTTCGATTTCTTGTTTGATGACCGTCTTTCTTTCTACCTCGCACTAAGTTAAAAGCATTTTGCTGCATTAGGTTAGAGTCGCCGGTAAATATCGCTCTAGGTTAGAGGCATTTTGTTTACGTCTACAAACGTTTATTTTTAGTCTTCTAGAGAAATTAGGAATTTTTTTTAAGCAGAAAATGTGGAAAATGTGCAATGCCCTCGCCAAGACTCGAGCCTGGATCTCTCGAATACGCGCAGAGTGGGCTACCGTTACATCCCCAAAGCATGCAGAAAGGAGGGATAAAATACCTTATTTACTCCCTCTTTTAAAAGACGATTTAAAACTATTTTAGCAATCCCTTTACTTGACCATCTCATTTTCCATTTAAAATCTCAATTTTCAAATTTAGAAAAGACTGTATCATCCTTGCTTTTAGTAAAACCATCAGTTTGCGCTGATCGTGCACATCAGGGTTTCTTAAACTGTGGGTCGCGACCCCCAAAGGGGTCGCAGGACCTGCAGCACGGGGTTGCCAAAAATTTTAGCAGTTTTGATATTTCTTTAATTTATTATAATAATTTTACAATTACCAAATATTTAATAACTATTCCAGTATATATCAGACTCAGCCTCTAGCCTCCAGGCAATCCAAGGCACATGTAGTAAAAATCCACTCGTCAGGGCCATACAAAAACTAAGATCACCTAAATACTATAGGCCTGAACTCCAGTGGGTACCTGCCCACACTGGAATACTGGGTAATGAAATTGCAGATGCAATAGCCAAAAGAGCAGCAACTGACCCCCACGTTCGCACACTTGACGTGCCTCTCCAGGGTTCTTTCCTAAAAGCTGAGCTCGAGAGAGAATTACTCAAACGTTGGCAACATCTGTGGGAGACAGAGACCACCGGCAGAAGAGTTTACAGATTTTTTCCAAAAGTCTGCCGGCTTCAAAAATCTGGCTCGTCTCACTTCACTCAGTATCTAACAGGACATGGTCCCTTCATGACTTATCTGCATCGCTTCAGACGACGCGAAAACGAGCATTGCTCATGCGGGATGGTAGGAGATCCGTACCACTATCTGTTCGCTTGCAGAGAGACCGCCAAATATCATCTTAGGCAACCAGTAGCAAACCACATCCATGCATGGGCCGAAGCTACTTCAAAAAATCGCAATGAATTGAAACGCATATGCGATTGCATAAATATTGCACGCAAAATCTCAGACAGGGTGGAGTAATTCTCAGCTACCATCCTCGTCACCAGCACAGCCCTTGTATGCTCTGTACCTGTAATGAATTAATTTTATCTTAAGTTAGCTTATTCGGCTTTTCTTATTCCCTGTATATATTTATCTCCTTGAACTGTAAACCTTGAATTATGTATTTTGCCTTATTTTATGTATTGTTTTCACTGTTTTGCCTTTTTTTATTTTATGTATTATTTCACTTTCTAGTACTTTCTTATTACTTTTAGTATTTATAACCAAATATCCATAACTCTGTAAATATGTAACTGAAATTGTTCTTCTCACTCGCAGTGCATCCTTCTTCCATTACTGCACTATCGTCTACGTCCAGCATTTGTTTGCACTGCCCCCAGCAGTCGTCTTGAGCACAATATGTATTTATAAGTGTGTTATTTTGATCAAGTTATTTCCCTCAGCGGGACTACCTGGCCGATATGCTAACTACCCAGTGGACCGGCTGCCTCGGAAAGAAAGTGTATCTCAAAATAGATAAAGATAAGACAATACAGACAAAAAAAAACTTTTCGACACATTCTTTTTATAATATAAACGTTTACTTTCCTTGTTTTGCACGTGACACTGTCATTTCGTCTGTTATTTAAAATTTTCACATTGTTCAATGTCTTAAAATTAGAAATTAAAGTTAACGACCTAAAACTGCGACAATATACAGTCAAAAGTAGTTAATACGGACTCGTCGGGACTTCGGCGATTCCGGATTCTCGATTTTTCCGGATTATAGATCATCAGTTTAAATCTGGTAAGATGGCATGCAGAAATTATAAAATCAAAAATATGAAACCGTAATTTATGAAATAAAGAACAATTATGATCTAAAGGGTATCAAAATTTACAAAAAAAAATAAGCTTAATATTTATTCGTTTACTTTACTTTCTTCGCTATCGGAAGCGAATTATAATGACGAGGACTTAAATCATATGAAAGACGGAGTACATCGATATGAAATACTACATTTAGTAAGGAATTATAAGCCAAATAAAATAAAAACATCTGCCCTGAAGATAAGGATAGTGCTGACAGATCAACTTCCAATTCATTGCGCGCCGCGGCGTCCGCCCGCCGCAGAGCAGCGTGAAATTGATAAACAGATTTCGGAATGGTTAGATAAACAAAGGATATGCCTTTATACATTTTTTGCAGCAATTCCACTTTTTGTTTAATGGACTTGGAAACATACTTTCGCAATGTAGATCCTTTACATATTTGTAAATATATATCGGAAATTCTATTTGACATAATCGAAAGTTCAAGCTTACTTTTATAAAATTGCTCTAACTGTCTGCAAAAAATAATAAGCCGGATCCAATTCGAAGATTAAGAAACAACGCAATCTGC